GAAGAAAACGCACGAGGTTGGACAGGCGACCATACTCCTTTTCACGTACAACCGGGGAATCGAAACCACGCCAGTTGACTCAATGACAAACCTTATGATACAGCGAGCACGTGCTAATCTTTCGGCCACCCAACCCCCATTTTGAAGTGTAACTATTTATAATTGCCGAACTGAAACCTAATAAATTATTTAAAGCCTGTAAGTAACGCAGTCTCACAATTAGTATTCGGCCATTCGAAATAAATAGTAAGGATCACCACCAATCTGATTACAACACAGATCCTATTTCGTTTCGTTTTTATAGTTCAAAATTTCGTTTTACTTGTCTTTACTTCACTGGGATCTGGGAGAGTTGTTATCATTGACGTGTTCTGAATGGTGTGAGGGATTAGCCAATGAAACGGTCTGTTACGGCGAACTTTAGCCGTGTTTTTCACGGAACTGTGGGTAATCCACTAGTAACATCAATGCTGATTGGTTAATCAAATGTCTGACGTCATAGGGTCAAAAGCCACTCGTATGACCTCTGATGCGACTTTCCACTACAACCGGTCAGATCTTCATGTAGTAGAGGCCATCGAAAGCATAAAAAAAACGAAACGAAATATAAATGTGTATTTTATTTAGATTGGATCACCACGTGGCGAAAGTTGAAAGAGCCTTTGAACCAAGTGCCGAAGCCATATTAGAGCAGCTATATAACCCTTATGACGAGCCCTTACTGCTCAATTACTTATTCCTATAAGAAACTAGCGGAGATAGATCAAATTTAATTTGTGCTGAATATTCGAATATCATACTAGTATTCGAATATCCGAATAAACGAGTTCACCGATCGAATAATCGAATACTCCGGCCGAACATTACAAAAAGTCATTCGGTTAAAACTACTAAATTTTGGCTAAATCCAATCAGACGTAAATACATCCAATATATTTCGTTATTATGGCGTTAAACACCAATAACTGAGTACGTGTAATTATTCATATATTGGTAACTCTTAACGTTGATCACATCTAAAAATAAATATAAAATATTCCCCGTGCTGTTTCCAACGTGTTGATAAAAGAACGTCTTGTGTTTGTGCATAACAAACTACAATAATCTTTGACTTTTAGCTGCCATTTAGATTAAAGACTTTGCACTGGGCTAATAGAAAAGATTGTTAGAATCACGTCATATATATTAGGTCGTGATCAAGTTATTAAGAGGGTTAGTACCATGGGATGATAGTAATTACTGAATGGAAGCAGGATATTGCCATAAATGTTTCATTCACAGTCGACTGTGCTGATGTTGCCAATAAGCTGAGAGGTTCTATCATGAACGCAGAGAAAATCTTTTTCAAGCAGTTTGATTTCCTGAGTGGGGGCTAGAGGGTTGTATAGGCGTGATCGCGTATGATATAAGATATCCCATCGTTTTCTAATCTATCATGGACACCATCGGCATCAACATTGAAATCAATGAAACCAGGGTTAATGTTCTTCTCTCCCGCCTACTCTATTGAATTTCGACTTTCTTTAGCGATTGTAGTTGTTTTCATTTCGAGTGTAATTTTCACACAAAAATTCCCAGTTGCTCACGGATATAGAAAATTCAATCTGAGTAAAACACAGATCCTATTTCGTTTCGTTTATTATAGTTTAAAATTTCGTTTTACTTGTCCTCACAACACTAGTATCTGGAAGAGTTGTTATATAACAGGCGTTCTAGTTTATGTGAGGAATTGGTCAATGAAACGATCTGTTACGGCGAGTTCTTGGGTGTGCTCTGCACGGAATTGTGGGTAAACTCCTAGAAACGTCAACGCTGGTTGATTAATCAATGTTGGGCATCATAGGGTTAAAGGCCGCTCGTATGGCCCCTGACGCGACCTCCGAGTACAACTGTTCAGATCGTCATGTAGTGCAGGCCATCGAAAGTAAAATAAAACGAAAAGAAATATAGATCTGTATTTTAATCAAACTGTAGAGGAAAACGGAAGACCCGGAGAAAACCCACGAGGTTGGACAGGCGACCCTACTCCTTGTCACGTACAACCGGGGAATCGAAACCACGCCAGTTGACTTAATGGCAGGCTGTATGATACAACGCGCATGCGTTAACCATTCGGCCATCCAACCCCAACGAGAGAAAGAGAGGGAGCGGGCAAACAATACATACCGGTAGAAAAAATACATTGGAAATAATTGTTAGTCTTAGTCCAAACTGATTAATCCGAGTGGATTGTATTCCATCTAGTTTCGTCATGAGTAAAACAGATCAGATAGCTGAGCAATGATACACATGATACTGGGTTCAACCCCCATCATTTTTTGTCAGCATCAACAGGGCTAATGAAGATGGACATTGACATTATAAGTAAATGGTCTTTAGAACCAGCGTAACGATACAAGGTAAAAAGTTCAATTATTACCACAGCCATTAATGTCCGTCCGTATTTTTATTAAGGCATTGTAATAAGATGGCGATTGAGCCTATAGCTAATGAAGATGACGATATTCCGGTTGACACCCACTTCAACACAATCAGGCTCTGTATTTAGAAGCCACCTAAAGGGTGTTCAATATATTTCCGATGGTATCACTATAATAGGATCTATGGTGATGACATGCCAGACGGGATTAACTCGGGTTCCAATAGATGGATGAATAACTCAGCTCGTTAACGGAAAGTTATAAGAACATTTTAGTAATGAAGCCTTTTATTTCGTCTCTCCGCCATTATCATCATCTACAACAGCGTCATCATCGTTAACTCTATAATATTCTTAATTACAATCATTCAGATAAAGGTCGTAATGTCGGTGGCAATGAAAATTGGCAATAAGGACCGTATTATGCTTGTCTCGATGATCCAGCCTGCTCCGACTGTCCGTGGTAATGCATAGCCGTTATGTATACGGATATTCTCGATAATCCAGCTTACTCGCGCTGTTATTGGTAATGTATAATTACGGTCTCGATCATCCAGCTTGTTCGCGCATTGTATGGCCGACATGTTCAAGGATGGTCTTGATAATCGAGATCTCAGCGAGAGTCATTGGTAATAAAAAAAAGAAAAAAAAAACTTGTCTGCGATATAACTTCGGTGGAAGCGGACGTTAAATAAAGCTATTTCACACACTAGGAAATAAAATGTCGATATGAAAAATGGCGGTATCAGTAGTGGTAGAAACGCGGGCCAGACTGTGCATGCACGCGATTTTTTTAGGGATTAGTAGGCAACCAGCTGCAACGCCTTTGGCTGGAACCTGAATACGGTGATTACCACCACTTGGAACGCTGTAACCCAAATTAACAATATGAAAGCGGTTTTAATCGCGTTCCCATCTCCAAACCCAGCAGGACGAGCGAGTGGTTAGAGCGTGTGCGTTGTATCATCTGACCTGCAATTGAGTCAACTGGCGTGGTTTCGATTCCCCGGTTGTACGTGACAAAGAGTAGGGTCGCCTGTCCAACCGCGTGGGCTTCATCCGGTTTCCTCCCACTGCTAAAGACCCCTACGAGCAAGTGAATAATTGAATTAAAAATTCAACCATATGTTAGACCCAAAATGACCTGGTGTGTGTCGAGTGGGCGTTAAACTCTCTCTCTCTCTCTCTCTCTCTCTCTCTCTTTGTTGATGCATGATCAAATTTGTGTTTAAATTACGTCTGCGACTTCAACTGGCTAATCAACAGCCTGTTTGATCATTGGGGGCGGTAAAGGTGGGTGGGGGCATTGTCTGGACCAATGGCTGTATCTGAATAATAGCGGTTGTAGGCCTAGCAATTATATGTGTTCACAGAAATTGCTTCATTATCGGTATATAATTTACACTTTATCCCGTTTTACCGGACTACTGGTGTAGGAGGTAAGTACTGTCTGAGCGAGGCTAATTTTAGAGATCAATGAAATTGGGTTTAACATCCTACTGTTCTACTCTGACTGGGCTAATGAAGACGGGCATATACCATACAATGTGCTATGAGGGACATTTTGCCCGAATGCCAGGTGCTCTATGGCCTACTCATATTCCGAATTCCAACTGTCAAGGGTTATTTTACGTGCACGCCAATTTGTACACAGAACTTCTGGTTTTCGTCCCATCCGAACGACTATACGTTGTCCCTTGCCAGGCCCTCCGTCCTGACAAGGGGGAACCACCGAGGAAAATGGCGATGAACTTTCTCGGCATGACGGCGATCGAACACGGGATCTTTTAGCGATAAGGAGACTAGTTGAGTGAGACTAATATTGAAAAATAGTAGACTTGTTTAACGAGGCTAATGTATATAATTTAAATATTCTCGAGTCTTACTAAAGTAAGTAGGTTAGACAAGTTGGGCGAGACTAGTTTTATAGAGGTAAATTAGACTAGTTGAGCAAGACTAGTTTTATAGAGGTAAGTAGACAAGTTGGGCGAGGCTAGTTTTATAGAGGTAAGTAGACAAGTTGAGCGAGGCTAGTTTTATAGAGGTAAGTAGACAAGTTGAGCGAGGCTAGTTTTATAGAGGTAAAGTAGACAAGTTGAGCGAGGCTAGTTTTATAGAGGTAAAGTAGACTAGTTGAGCGAGACTAGTTTTATAGAGGTAAGTAGACAAGTTGAGCGAGGCTAGTTTTATAGAGGTAAAGTAGACTAGTTGAGCGAGACTAGTTTTATAGAGGTAAAGTAGACTAGTTGAGCGAGACTAGTTTTATAGACGTAAAGTAGACAAGTTGAGCGAGGCTAGTTTTATAGAGGTAAGTAGACAAGTTGAGCGAGGCTAGTTTTATAGAGGTAAGTAGACAAGTTGGGCGAGGCTAGTTTTATAGAGGTAAGTAGACAAGTTGAGCGAGGCTAGTTTTATAGAGGTAAAGTAGACTAGTTGAGCGAGACTAGTTTTATAGAGGTAAGTAGACAAGTTGAGCGAGGCTAGTTTTATAGAGGTAAAGTAGACAAGTTGAGCGAGACTAGTTTTATAGAGGTAAAGTAGATTAGTTGATCGAGATTAAAATAAAGATTAGACTACTAACCTGGAACTGAGGCTCCTGGGATAGCTAACACCCACAGATGTCTGGATATGATAGAATAAAAGATGCCGATGACTAATATAGGTATAAGATATAGTCCTATCACAAGAAAAGCTTTATATATAAGATCAGTTTCACTTGACCAGCTCATCTGGCAATACGTCAAATATTCCGGTATATCCTGATACGTTCGCTCTAGGAACATGTACAGTAAATTGGGCAGGGAAACCAAGGCAGCGATTATCCATATTGACACGATGGTGACTATAACTTTCCTAAATGATATTCTGGACTTGAGAGGGTGACATATGGCGTAGTAGCGTTCCACACTGATTGCACACAGGGTCAGGACTGAACAGGATACGGACATCGTCTGAAAATATACAAAAAACAAATATACATAATAATCACACTTGAGAGAGGGAGAGAGAGAGAGAGAGAGAGAGAGAGTACGGTAGCATCCAGACTTAAAAACTGAAAATCGTAAATTTAAAGGAGTTAAATCGCTAATATTTGCGATATGTAATATGAATATGAATGTAATATGAATGTATATAAACTGATTTACATTCAATCGTTTCTGTTTTTACTGTAATTTCTAATCGGTTATGCTCGGCGAAATACGACAGAAGTCTCAATCGAATGGCAACCTCTAGCGTCAGGTTATACCAGTCTACAAAGGGAGTATTTCATGCACATGTTCTACGGGTAAGAATATGGCACCACCGTTCGTCATGACTTCTCTTCCCGGTAAGATCACAACATCAATGTTAATTTAAATTGACAAATAATTCGTGTTTTCAATTAAATGATACTTAGCTACTATAACCCGTCGATTTCAATCGTGTGTTTTAGGGACACTATCTAATATTTCATGACTGTAAGACGATCGGGGCCAGGAACCGAGCATGGCGTTCACATCCCCATCGTGGAATTATGACGTCATATCCACCATCGATGCGCAATTGTCCAAGGAACAGTCATACCAAATTATACTCGAATTGACAGAGCCTTCGACCTTTTTTTCCGAGAACGTCGTTCCCAAACGGAAGGAAGAATAAAAAGATCGGTAGTGCTCGGGGCCAAGTTCTGGGTTCAAAAAAAGGCGGTTAGCTTTTAAATAGAGCTTTTATTTATAGGGTCGGGTTAAGCTTGCAAGGGACCCTAGCTGAAAATGTCACTTGGGGCCAATGCATCATCAGTGAATAGGTTACACGTCCTGGTCATTGTCGGTCATACTCATATAAAATGCAATTTGTAAGCCTATGTCAGAATGTCCGCCTTGTTAAACTCTACCGTAAAATATTTGTTTATAAGGTACACATTTTGAATTTAAAACTAATTTGGGCGCCCCTTTAATATTGGGGTCCATGGCTGCATCCCGGTCAGACCCCGCCCTCTCACCCCGGAACATACACACACCTTTAATCCGGTCCTGTATATTTACAATGGAACAAAGATGACAGAAAGGCTGACTAGTCTTCGTTCATTGTGGATATATACTGATCGATTTCTGATGCCATGATTTACAACAGCTATCACACATACAGAATTTATTATAGTTCTCTTAAGACGACTGGATCTTCTATTGTACGGTCTATTTAACATCATATATATCACTCTGTTATTACAGCTCAATCAAATTCATTATTTAAGGAAAATAGATTGTTTCTATTAAAGAGATGGGGGAGAGGGGGAGGGGGGTCTGAATGGTTAGCGTGTGCCTATTGTATCATAAGATCTGTCATTGAGTCAACTGGCGTGGTTTCGATCCCCGGTTGTAAGTGACAAGGAATAGGGTCGGCTGTTCAACCTCGTGGGTTTACTCTGGGTCCTCGGGTTTCAGACCCCAAATCTCTCTGTCTCTCTCCCTCTCTCTGACTTTAAATATAATACAATTATTTTTTTTTCAAGCTTTATTTTTTGTTATTATTATTTGTGTATATGTGTACGATTTACAAGCATGGGTATATTTATAATTAAATAACATGCATTTCCGTATAAAAGTCTTACTAACAAGGCTTCCAACAGTACACAGATATAAAAACAAAGGTGGGTAATATTTAACATACATTATACAAGAGCCAAATCTGCCTATTGCAGGTCTTTCTTTAGGCCTCGATCAAATGTTATCTAAATTATTAGACATTTATTAACTTATTGAAACCATAATTAACTCGCGATGTCATCGTTAGCCTATGATATTTACTTTATTTGAATATATTTTGTGATATATAATTGAATTTAAAATAGATAATCGAAACTTTGTTTATTATCATACAAACGTTAGTAATGACGATCGAGGCTAGCCTCAAATTGAATCCCTAATATCGCGGTTCAGAGTGATGCAAGTTGACTGAAAATTTCAGCATATTCTGTTTTCATTATCTATTTTATACTTATTATAACGAGACCTTTCGGTTCTTTATCTAATCGTACCTAATACCCCTTTAGATTTATATCCATCAATGGGGAATGGGTATACAATAAGTTCTAGGAATTTATTAATTCTTTAAAGGATATTGTCATTTATTTCTATATTGTTCCGGGGATATTTCTATCCGTTTATTCGTTTATTAATTAGTTAGCAGTTTTCCTTTGTAACAAATGCTAGAGCATTTTTTTTAAAACAAATTTGGTGCGAAGTATTGAGCCAATGTTTGCTTCACAACGTGGAGACACTATAAGGTTTCATATGAACTCGGGATCCCGAGAACATTTACATAGGATGTCAATATCTCGAGAACATTAACTCGAATTCTCGAGATCGTTAACTCAGGATGGAACTATCACGGGAAAATTATCAGGGGATTTCGAGAACATTAAATTGAGATCTCGAGATTTCGAGAAAGTATCACAGGATCGCAGGATCTCGAGACGTTCTACAGAATTTTGCATGACCCCTATACGCTTCCCTAGTTCTCGACGTCTAACATCATTTCAAGACAAATCTTTCGTTTACTCACTAGAAATCATAGCAACATTTCTTAATATCAATTTTCCATTTTGCGCTGTTTAAGAAAATAAGTGTCGTGGTTTTGTGAATGTTCTTTGTTTGTAATCTAATGTTTTTATTTGCCGTCGTCATATATAAAATGTCTGGAATTACAAAGCATTCGATTTTAAATTTAAGAGCACTTCATTTTCTTATCTCTTTACGCCCATGCTCCTTTATTAGCACATCGGTACAGACAAGTAGGACATTAACACCATTTCGTGTTCCTCCCTTTCGTGTGTGCTTGAGTGGCCGGTTTATCTTTAAGAGTATATTCAGATAAGATTTAATTTGAACTTAGGGTATACTTATATATTGATTTTAATAGGATTGGGTAATATTCTTTTCTTGTGATCTATCACAGACGTTTTATTTCATCTTGACTGCGTGATTTATTAAATCCATTTCCCACCATTTTCTTTCCGTTATTGTTGAAGGACCGACGTGCTTAAACTTTATATTAGATAAAAATTAATGTTATCTCTGATTTTACATAGCTTATGTAATGACGTTTTACATTTATTTTAAATATGTAATATTCTTGTTTTTTTATGATCTGAAACAAAAGTTTTATTTTATGCCGTCTGCGTGTTGTTTTGTCGTGTAAAGAAATCAGTTTCTTTGAATAAAAGTTTTTGGACCTAAAAAAAGTTTTATGTAGAATGATTTCCATCGCTATAAGTACATTAACAGTTCAGAATTAATCTACTCGGCACCGATCTAATTATGAATTGGGTTCTTATTTCGTTTCGTGTTTGTAATTCGATTTTTGCACGACACTGGTAACATATAAAATACGGAATATAAAACGAAAAACGCGTAATAATTACATAAAGCCAGATTGAATCGACACTTTGGTTTTTAAACCACATTAAAGCAGTCTCGTCCATTCAGATCGGCAGAGCAACAGTTTGGTTTAACAATTGATTTATAAAAATAGTGTTGCGGTGATATTTGCTACTAAGAGTTATGTATTTTGCTACACAAAAAAAATATTTATAAAAATATATCACTACAGTTGCTTTTATTCACAAATCTAATTTCACAGGTATTAATGCGAACAGAGATGTTCTTGGACTGATTATTTAATATTTAATAATATTGAATCAAGTGGCGTGGTGCCGATTTGCCGCTTAGACGTGATAGGGAGTAAGCACGCCTGTCCAACTTCGCGGGTTTACTCCGCATCCTTCGATTTCCTTCCATATCTCATGAGGGATTTCATCTTCCGTCGGGGGGGGGGGGGGAATGGTTAGCGCGTGCGCGTTGTATGATTAGGTCTGTCATTAAGTCAACTGGCATGGTTTCGATCCCCCGGTTGTACGTGACTAGGAGTAGGGTCGCCTGTCCAACCTCGTGGGTTTACTTCGCATCCTCCTATTTCCTCCCATAGGTAAAGACCCCTACCTACAAGAGAATTATTGAAATATATTTGAATCATATGTTAGTCCTGAAATGACATAGTTTGTGTCAAATGGACGTTTAAATCCATTTCTGTGTTTTTATTGATACTTTCATCAGGTTGATGACCTGTATCTTTCAAACAACAACAACAGGTATAAAACTATAAAAAGTTATTCTATTTCCGTAATAATAATAAAATCCAATTATAATGTTTATCTTATGTAAATGGTCAATCATAAAGAAAATAGGGCCAAAAATAGATTGTAATGAATTTATCTATAATAGATATTGAAAGACAATACTAATTTATAACAAGTTAAATAACTTACTGAATATTGGACGATATAAGATACGGTTGTTGATAATGGTTTTGTCTCTAAAAGGAAAGTTTAATAATAGACCTTACTGTTTTTAATCACGAATTATAACGCCCAGTTACTGTTTAAACAATAATGATGAGGCATGTTTATTTTCGTTTTGTTAATGGCTTGTTTTTTTTATCGTTTAAAACGCCTATCTCAGACATGGCTACGTGGTCAATCCTCGGGGAATTCCACACTCCTTGCAGTGTTTTGTTTGATTAGACCTAACCCCACTCAAACACTGCTGTAATGAAAACAAATCTCTGTTCGAAATTATGACTGGTAAATAGTCCGATTAACAACCAATACCCAACTGCGTAACAATATCATTCGGGTTTAAACAGAGCTCCAGATATGTTTACATAACGTTACGTCATGACTCACGAAATTTATTACGCCCAATTTACCAGTGCATAGTAGACTATTGCAGAAAAAAACTAATTGCGTGATAAACGAGGCTATCAAAACAGCTACAATGTAAACAATACTTTTATGCCTTAAATTGCTGTGCAAAATTTTAGGGAAGACCCCAGATTAAACGAAGGGCTGTCATGTTGCTGTACTTAGGGGAGATTTGATTCGACGAGAAGAATAGACACACTCCCTCAAATG